GTGTGTGTGTGTGTGTGTGTGTGTGTGTGTGTGTGTGTGTGTGTGTGCGTGTGTGCGTGCGTGCGTGCGTGCGTGTGTGTGCGCGCGCGTCCATGTACGTATATATGTGTGTGCATGAGTCGTATGTGTGCATGCCTTTTTATTTGTCTCTTCCCATACGTTCTCATACGATCCTATAAATCCGCATATATCTCAAGCATCACTACACCAATAATTACCAACACAGCAATCTTTCAACAAAAATTTGCCGCTCAAAGTAAAACGAAATAATTCGCTCAGGACATTCAGCCCGCGAGGCCTATAAACTACCGGCATTTCGTAGTAAAAGTGACCAAGGGACCGCGGGCGAGACGCCACGTGATTTTGTAATCATCAGGCGTCATAAATTCTGAACTCGTTATCTGTGTTCGTTTGTACTGATGAGACAAGACATATGTAAAGTCGTTACATACAAACATGCACACGCACGCTGTAAACATACATACATGCATGTTACGTGTGTGTATACAGCTAGTTAGCGAGCTAGATATAAATGCATATACTTACACATAGAAACGCACACATTATATATATGCATATATTTGTACACACACACACACACACACACACACACACACACACACACACACACACACACACACACACACATATATATATATATATATATATATTATATATATATATATAATATATATATATTTAAAGATAAGTTATACAAACATAACATACATACATACATATATATATAATATATATATATATATATATATATATATATATATGCATATAGATAGTAAATAGATAGATATATTGGGGGCTATACGCGTAATTACAAATAAATATAATCTTGCCTGAACCTGCATACGACTATATTTTACATAACACTGCGAATTTAGCCATAAACACAAAAGGAAGATAATGCAATCATATCATTAGTCGGAAGCATAGGCCTATAAATTACCGATTTGTGGTTTAGCTTTCTATACACTTATTACAGGGAAGCGGCTACCCCCAGGTTATTAATAAAGCCACCTGTTAATGTAATCTTCTTGGCCTTCCAAAGGTCTAATTCATCATGTAGTTACCGTGAATTTTAGTCAATAATACAGCTATTCAAATTTCGTAAATGAAGCTACAAAACAGCTACTAATCCAGTCATTTATCAACAGTTTCTTTAGCTAATTGACAGATTAAGAACAAAATACCTGTTACGTGTTAACGAAATGGACATGTATTCACCTACATTACCAAAACCGAAAAAAGAATAGATAAAAAAAATAAATGATGATAAATAAAAGCAAAAAAGGAAAAAAATGTGTAATACAAAAAAGAGGCAAAACCCAAAAAATAAAAAATAAAGAGGAATGCTTGCACGGCCGCATGTGTTGCAGAAGAACAACCGCAAAGCATAATGACAATATTCAGTGACGTAGGTTATCCGTGTCAAGGGAAAGTAGTTAAGAACAGAATTGCAATTTAATTCTAAAAAGAGAGAGAGAAAAATAATGAATATATTGTATTACTGGAGATGATTTTGTGAGAATATGAGATCTTTCCAAGTATCACCGAGTGTGTGTTTTAGCAAGGTAAATACCCTTAAATTTTGGATCCTTTGAAATGCTTATAAGTAAAGATGTCCAAGTTAAGTATGTTATGCAAGATGTTGGTGATGTCAGTGTCATAATGTAGCATCAAAGTTATTACATGTACAAGTAATTTCATGAACATCAGAACGCATAAATTTAGCCTTGGTTGTAAAACGTCTGTCAAAAAATACAAAGTAATTACATATGATAAATAATTAAGTTAATAAGATCAGAAAATATACTATAACAAAAACATAATTACAAATGATAAATAGCAAATAACTCAATAAGATCAGAAAAATTAAAAAAAATGATACAATACAAAAGGAATTGCGATTCGAAAAAAGAGGTAAAAACCGATACAAATTAAAAAGAAAGAAAGAAAAAAAAAAAAACTACACGGGAAGCCCACCATACTACACAGACGTTGACATATCGAACACAACAACACAAGTCTCTCCTTAATCCATTAACGAAGATGTTTAGAGATAAAAGATATACGATAAAAACCAAACATTCCCAGTGGGGTTAAGCCTGAAGATATACGGTACTGAGTGGCCGGGTAAAGAAGATAATCCAGGACTTACGAGACCATATGTTGGTATTTGTTATTTATGTATAGTTGCGTCTCGGATTTTCTTTCGCAGTAGGTCGCAAAGGAATATGTAGGCCTATATACTCCGATCGACACTTTTTTACTTGTTTTTACCTCTCTATTTGTAGTTTGAATTATACTTGTATCAGCGTGAGCATTCCGCTACAATATTGTAATTTAGTTTTTCATCGACAACGTTTGGATGGGTGTAATTTTGGAATGTGTGATACTAAAGGAAGGAGGAGAAAATGGGAGAAAGGGAAAGAGAGAACAGGAGAGAGATGAGAGAAAGGGAATGGATAACCAATACTAAAAACAGGAACACCATGTAACCTAAAGGATAAAAAAAATTCTACAATGCATTCCTCTCCTAAAAGGATGTTTTGACCGGGACCAACCAAGAGGAATCCCTGTGTGGTTTCAGGATACAACCAGCGTGACCTTGTAGAAGAGGACACGCAGGAATCCCTCCCCCCCCGCATAGGTACTAGTGTGAGGCCCTACCTGCTTACGGGAATAGAGTCA